CTATTGTCAAGGGGAACATTCAATTTACAAGTGTAAGGATTTCTTAGCCCTTTCAGCGTCTCGCAGAATATCAGAAATACGCAGTCGAAAAATTTGCACTAATTGTCTCCGCTCTACAACGCACACAGCTAGTAAATGTCCATCAGGCAATTGTAAAACTTGCAAGGGCAAACACAGTACATTGCTACATGCAACAACTTCTACAGACTTATCAGACCGTGACAAGGAGAAAGGCGAAGAACCGGCGCCAGCAGCATCTCCAACGGCGCTGGTCATGCATACGGCTGACCTTCCCGACAACGGGTACACTATGCTCTCTACAGCTGTGCTATACGTTTACGACAGCCAGGGGACGCGCACAGAATGTCGCGCCTTATTGGACTCTGGTTCCCAAGCTAATTTTATTTCTACGAAATTTTTAGCCAAGCTCAGTTTAAAGCCAAAATCACTAAACATATCCATTTCAGGTATAAATGGTGCAACTACCACATCCACGCAAACCGTCCGGTTGAAATTGCTATCCCGTCTGAACTCGTACTCGGTCGACATCGAATGCATCGTAACGGAGCGGGTAACGGACAGGCTTCCGGCATTTACTCTTGATCGAAAGGCCTTCGACATTCCTCGTAATCTACCGCTGGCCGATCCCCATTTTCACAAGTCCTCAGATATCGACGTATTACTAGGTGCCGAGGTATTCTGGGATCTAATGTGCGTGGGGCAAGTGCGGTCATCGCCCAAGCATCCAACGTTACAGAAGACTCGGTTAGGGTGGATTTTGGCCGGTCGTATGGGCAGTCCTCCTAATGATGGGCGGAGGGTACAATCATTTCATGCAACCATATCCAATTTGGAATTGCATAATCAATTAAGTCAGTTTTGGCAACAAGAGAGCGGTGGCAGCAATCCAACCAATTACACACTCGTAAAAGCTCATTGCGAGCAGCATTTCATAGATAACGTAACTCGAGATCAAGACGGCAGATTTGTAGTAAAGCTTCCTATCAAGGAGCAGGTGATGGCCAAAATAGGTAATTCAAGGGACGTCGCGTTAAAGCGTCTGCTGAGTCTTGAAAAACGATTCTACCGCGAGCCTGATTTAAAAACGCGATACGTGGAATTCATAAACGAATATCTGTCGTTGGGCCATATGAGGGTATTAGACACGCAGCTTGATGAAGATTCGGCATCGTTCTATTTGCCCCACCACGGCGTATTCAAAACTTCCGATCAATCTTCGAAAATTCGAGTTGTTTTCGACGCGTCGTGTAAAAGTAGCACAGGTATATCGCTCAACGACGCACTCATAGTAGGGCCCGTTGTCCAGCAGGACTTGATGTCCATTTTGCTGCGATTCCGCACGCATCGCTACGCGATCTCAGCCGACATAGTTAAGATGTATAGACAGGTACTAATACACCCGTCGCAAACGAGATTGCAAAGAATACTTTGGCGAGATAACATACGGTCGGGCATTAAAACTTACGAGCTAACAACGGTCACGTACGGCACTTCTTCGGCTTCGTATTTGGCTACGAGATGCCTTAAGTATTTGGCCGAACAACACGCGCCAATCTTCCCAGTAGGCTCGAAATGCGTTGAGCGCGATTTTTATGTAGACGATTTGCTCACAGGAGCTGACACAATCGCTGACGCGAAGTTAATAATAAACGAAACTTTGCAGTTGTTACGGCTGGGATCGTTCGAGCTCAGCAAGTGGGCATCAAATTCTCCGGAGTTGCTGGAAAATATAGGCGACCGGCAGGGTAATTCAGTCATCATCAATGACGGTGTACACCCGCGCATCCTGGGGGCTCAGTGGGACCAATCCGAAGACACGCTAGGTTTTTGCTACCAAACCGATATAAACCATCACACCGTGTCCAAACGCACAATACTTTCTGAAGTTGCCAAATTATTTGACCCTCTGGGACTCATCGGGCCCATCATTGTCATCGCAAAACTCATCCTTCAAGAGTTATGGCAGGCAGGCTGTCAATGGGATGAATCGGTACCACAGGCTATACAATCACGTTGGTTAAGACTTAAGTTGCAATTGCCTGAATTAAATAAATTGCGAGTTTCACGATGCATCAAACTTGATGCAGATTCCCGGCGCGTCCAGGTACACGATTTTTGCGATGCTAGTCAACGCGCCTATGGGGCGTGCATATATCTTCGAACGGAAGGCGATAATGAATATCACGTGGGGCTGCTCTGTTCAAAATCTCGCATTGCGCCCAACAAAACCATATCTCTCCCTAGATTAGAGTTATCCGCAGCGTTGCTATTGGCGCAATTATTAGATAAAGTTCGAAATTCGTTCGATTTGTCCCACATGGGCATATTCCTCTGGTCAGATTCTACAATAGCCTTAAACTGGTTGACATCGCCTTCCCGAAAATGGACGGCCTTTGTAGCAAACCGAGTCGGCGAAATACAACGCCTAACAAAAATAGAAAGTTGGCGGCACATTTCATCATCAAACAATCCCGCTGACATATTGTCACGCGGGCTAGATCCTCACGAGTTAATAAGCTCATCCTTGTGGTGGCAGGGTCCCAAATTCTTACAATCTCGACAAGAACAATGGCCAAGTGACAAATTCATTCAGCTCAGAGACGACATTCCAGAGAGGCGAGCAACCACTGTGGCTGCAGCTAATCTCAAGCATTCTACGGTCGATGAATTAGCAAGTAAATTCTCTAGTCTTATCAAAATAGGCCGCATCTTGTCTTATTGTCTTAGATTTTGCAAAACGCATCGACCGATTGCACAAACTAGTTTTGTTTCTCACAGCGAAATAGCCTATGCACTAAATGTAGCATGTAGAGCGGTACAAATGGGTTCATTCTCTGAGGAATACAGGGCATTGAGCGAAGGCAAATATATCAGTGCATCCAGCAAATTGCTCTCTCTATGTCCTTTTATGGATAAGCTTGGTCTAATCCGTGTGGGGGGTGACTGAGAAACTCCAGGTTGCAGTTCGATGCGCAACACCCCATATTACTACCACGTGACCACGACTTAACAAAGCGTATAATAACCTACGAACACACGCGCAACATGCATGCCGGAACGCAAGCCACAATGGCCGCCGTAAGACAACGATTTTGGCCTCTTTCGTTGCGATCAACTACGCGCAAAATCATTCGAAGTTGCGTGACATGTTTCAAGACTAAACCGGTCCTATCGGAAGCTATAATGGGTTCCTTGCCGGCCAGTCGTGTCA